GCACGGGAGCGGCCCTGCCGACCACGCTGCTCCCGTCCCAACGGAGAGGTCCCCATGGGATGGCCCTGCACCCCCAGGGTGAGGGCCCCCCCACCCAGGGCGGGCAGCGGGTCTCTGAGTGCCCCCCCGTCTTCCCAGCTTTGCTCAGGGTGCATGCCCATGCCCAACGTCGGTGCTCCCCACCTTCTCCTGCAGCTCCTGCTTCTCCTTGCTGACCTCCTCCAGCTGAGCCTGGAGGTCATTCATCTGCGCCAGGTCCCGGGATGCCTGTGGGACACGCCGGGGCCATCAGCGGGGACCCCTCCGTAATGGCTCCGAGAGGGGTGGTCCGGGGGGTGGGAGCGCCACAGCCACCATGACCCCCTCACCTGGGCCACAGCCGCCTTGTGCTTCTTCATCAGCTCGTTCATGTCCTCCTGGTCCTCCTCCAGCCGACTCTGCACCTCATTCTTCTCCCGCTGCAGCCGGCTCAGCTGCTCCTCCAGCTGCGGGGAGACCCCTGCGTCTCCCACTGCGCCCCAGGAGATGGGGCACCCACCCCCAAAACCACCCCGAACGGTGTGGGGTCACCCTGCCAGCGTGCTGTGCCCATGGGGGTCTCCCCCGGGTGCAGGTGGGGCACGGCCCCATCACGGTGCATCGCACCCCAAAAACACTTACTGCTGCCTTGGCCTTGGCCAGGTCATCGATCTGCAGGTGGAGGTCTTCGATCTCCACCTCCATCGACTTGCGGGCCTTGACGGCGGCTGCACAGGTGAACTCCGACTCCTCCAGCTACGGGGACACGGCTCAGTGCCCAGCCGGGGCACAGGGACACCCCATCTCCCTCAAGGGCTGCGGTTTTTGGGGGGTCTGGATGCCCACCTGGTTCTTCAGTTGGGCGATCTCCCTCTTGCTGGGCGCGTTGTTCTTCAGGTGGTCCAGCATGATCTGCGCATCAGCCAGCAGCGCCTTCGTCCTCTTCAGGTCCCGGCGCAGGCGCTTCTCCGTCTCAAAGTCCCGCTGGTTGGCCTGTGGCGGGGGGGAACCATGCCAGGGCACCATGCCGGTGGGCACCCACCCACCAAAGCCACCACGGGGTCCCCAAAGTGAGGCACGTGCCCGGCTGCCCTGTGCCCTACCTGCTCGCTGATGGCAGATAACTTGCTCTCCAGCTCCCGTTTCTCTCTCAGCACCTTCTGCTTGTCCTCGTATTCCTCCTCCAGCTGCACCTCCATCTGCTTCTTCTGGGGGACAGCCCAGGCAGCC